AGAGAATTAATTCTCTTTCTCCGCGGGCTCGTCCGGGATTTGAACCCGGGACCTCTCGCACCCGAAGCGAGAATCATACCCCTAGACCAACGAGCCAACTTGACAAACTTTTTCTTAAGTAAATAAATGTATCGTACCATCACATCCTCGATTATTCCTCTGATCGTTATCGCACGTTCTCCGCGAATCGACGCTGGAAAAAGAACAATGGAACAAACGAGGAAATTTCATTCGATCCTCGACCGAGATATCGCTAGGATAATTGACCGATTCAAAGGCGGGAAAACCTGATCACATCCTGCAAAAACGCAGCCAACACGCATTCCTGCAGCTTGTTTCCCTAATTGATCGGCTCTAAACGTATCGACGCATCTCTTTTTGTAGCATCATCGAGAATTCCGCGTCACCATGGGAAGAGCCGATCGGTTGGAAAGAAAAAGCGTTAATTAGCTCGTTTGAATGGGGGCCGGGAACGTGAGTTTCTCGCCAGTTGATGCACGTGGCGCCACCTATGGTACAAACGTTGCATTCCTGATTAAGCCTCTTGCCGCTTTGGGATCCTTGGACTTCGATCTAACGAACAACAAAGTTACAGAACGTTGCTGTTTAATCTCGAAGTCGATCGAAATGACAATTATCCCGGTCTTAACTCTTCCGATCTGATACCGAGTTGCACGACAGGTGTTTTCGTTACACGATCGTTAGACATTCGGTTCTTAATTGCGCTTGGACAAATGTGTCTCGGAAATTATGATGTATGCAGGCAAATTTCTGGTGTTTAATACCGGTGTAGATGGAACAGGATGAGGAAAATGATTATCCGGCAAATTACATTTCCTAGGCCTGGCATGATTAAATCGTGAATCATATTCTCCATAGGTGGGAAACCCTTAGCATTGTTTCTAACACGTTTGAAAATCTTCTCGAATTTATTAATTTTGTTACCAAACAGAAACCAAAAGTTTCTGTCACAAACTTAAGCTTCATCAAAATTAATCCTCGAATAAGTATATAGACCCAACATATGAGTTCACATAAGAATGATAATATAATATAGACGTGTGATAATTAATATCGTTCGCTAGTGAAGGGTGCAGGTTTCTCCAGCGGAAGTGGAGAAACGAAAGCGCAAAATCTTGCAAAGATTCATAGCCATGTTCGATACAATGGCCAGACGATTGTTATTCAAGGTAAAACACCTCGATGGCACGCTCGCAGCCAGGGAACACGCTTTCTTCTTTTTTCCAGAGGAAGAAATTGCGGAAATTTTCTAGTAGACTATTTTCCGTTTATTTTATAATTCAACTACGATGGACAAAGTTGTCCATTAACGTACGGACGCATCGCGCTCGTAAAGATTAGCAGAGGTACGTCGTAAAGCGTAGAAGCGTTGCAACGAACGTTTTTATTGTACGCAGGAATGTTTGAGACAGTTTTTACAACGGTGAGGTTTTTACGGTGCCGCTGCCGGGCGACGTGCATATTTTTTTAATTAGAACTAAGCTCCGACCGTAAACGACCAAAGGACAGACCGATTAAACGATTCCATGACCACCATCATCGCTTTACGACATTCTTCTTCTTTCTTCCGCTAAGAATAATAACGCTCAGCTATTGTTCAGGGCGACCCTTATCGTCCTGGTGGCCATACTGCATCCCTGATCGTAGGTATTCCGAGTTTCCCTCGAAATCCCCTAATACTTGAAATAAAAAGAGAGCCAAAGGAAAAAGTCTAGGACTTAAAATACTTTAAGTACTTTTTGAAGGTTCCGTCGTAAAACATTTTACAAGTGTCTGCAAATAACCGTAATATTTTTTAAACAATTTTTCCCCTCTGCGAAAATAATTTAGATTTAAGTTACTTTCATTTTTGTGACATTTTAAATAAATGACAAAAATAATTTATCGTTTAGGATAACGAAACGGTATCGATTAATAAGCGCCCGAGGGGTTCGTTCTAATTATCGTTTCGAAGGGGCAAACCCCGGTTAATTGCCAAACCCACGATATCTGCTCGATAATTCGGAGAAAATCCGGATTTTCGAAATGGATTTCCATCGCTCGAGGGTGCAACGTCATTGTTTCGTGAAACTGAAATATACTGGAAGAAATGAAAGGCGACGTGGAATGCGCGAACACGCTTCCATATATCACTAACACAAACCCCAAAGCTGTTATCGATCATTAAGATCTCTATGATCTACGAGCTGCCATGGTTGAATCCTCAAGGATACCAGCGGAGAATTGTGTTACTCTGCACAAGTACGGGGTATTTCTTTAAACTAATTTTAGCGCCGAGCAACTCTATGAGTAATACGAATCGGACACCATCGCTCGTGAAAAGAACAAAGAAATGTGAAAAAAAATTTACCACGGGCAATATAAAGATGCAAGGTTAAGCCGCAATTAAGTGTGTTTCTTTTCCTGCCCGAAAAAAATCGCTTTCAGAGGATAGATTTTTATGACAGCGTTTCCGCCGAAACTAGAATCTCGCCTCTTCTTCCTTTTCCTCTCTCTCTTTCCACGTTGCATATCCTACAGAATCACGCTCGATAAATAAAGAAAAATGACACAACGCGGGATGCTCGCAGCAAAAAATCCGTACAATACGTTTTGATTCAACCTCGAAAACGCTCCGTCCAAAACAACCTTACATAACCGATCTTTGAGGCTAGCGTCATCGGGGGACACCATAAATGTTAGGTACAGCAAAAGTCCATCTGTCCGGGAATGCCAAGTAACGTCGCAACCTGAGTAACTATTAAATTTGTATTGATCACAGCTTCACGTAATTCTGAATAATTATTTGTTTCGCAATAAAAAACATTAAATTCGGTATGTTTATACATTCGGTGTGGAGAAATTTTAGTATATTAAATTACTTCGTTATGTCATTCGAAGTTTCGTTATTTCGTCTTTAGAATTTTATTATGAATTAAATTATGTATGATGTGATAATGATTACTATAAATAGTTAATAGTATGAAATAGTTTTGATGTAATTTCATACGTCTAGGAGGCACCTGAAGTGTACTATTGAGTGAATGATCAAACATTTGCTTCCTGCTTGCTTTCCCATATGTGTTCCTTAATGTATTCAAGAACATGTAAGTACGTTTCAAAGCAATATACAATATTATGCAATAAGTACATAAAAATTAGTATCAAGCAGCAAAGAAAATTTGTCAGAAATTTGAAAACTGATTGTTAGATCACACGTCTGACACATTAAGTGTTCAATGTTAAGGGTTAGAATTTGAGGAACCAGTAGCTGTAAAAGAAGTTCATAGAATTTTCTGCGAATAATAGGAAGACGCGAGAAGCTGGCGAGGTGCGATAAGTTCCTAGAGAAATGGAGTCCCGACGTATCGCGACACTCCTACCGGCGATCCGGGAGCAGAGTGTCGAAGGGAGGGAAAAAGGTGCAGCGAGAGAAGGTCCTTGCAAACCGCAGGATCGTTATCGATACCGCGAGGAGCTTCGTCTCGGGGAGCCGTGAATCCTCAAGGATACCAGCGGAGAATTGTGTTACTCTGCACAAGTACGGGGTATTTCTTTAAACTAATTTTAGCGCCGAGCAACTCTATGAGTAATACGAATCGGACACCATCGCTCGTGAAAAGAACAAAGAAATGTGAAAAAAAATTTACCACGGGCAATATAAAGATGCAAGGTTAAGCCGCAATTAAGTGTGTTTCTTTTCCTGCCCGAAAAAAATCGCTTTCAGAGGATAGATTTTTATGACAGCGTTTCCGCCGAAACTAGAATCTCGCCTCTTCTTCCTTTTCCTCTCTCTCTTTCCACGTTGCATATCCTACAGAATCACGCTCGATAAATAAAGAAAAATGACACAACGCGGGATGCTCGCAGCAAAAAATCCGTACAATACGTTTTGATTCAACCTCGAAAACGCTCCGTCCAAAACAACCTTACATAACCGATCTTTGAGGCTAGCGTCATCGGGGGACACCATAAATGTTAGGTACAGCAAAAGTCCATCTGTCCGGGAATGCCAAGTAACGTCGCAACCTGAGTAACTATTAAATTTGTATTGATCACAGCTTCACGTAATTCTGAATAATTATTTGTTTCGCAATAAAAAACATTAAATTCGGTATGTTTATACATTCGGTGTGGAGAAATTTTAGTATATTAAATTACTTCGTTATGTCATTCGAAGTTTCGTTATTTCGTCTTTAGAATTTTATTATGAATTAAATTATGTATGATGTGATAATGATTACTATAAATAGTTAATAGTATGAAATAGTTTTGATGTAATTTCATACGTCTAGGAGGCACCTGAAGTGTACTATTGAGTGAATGATCAAACATTTGCTTCCTGCTTGCTTTCCCATATGTGTTCCTTAATGTATTCAAGAACATGTAAGTACGTTTCAAAGCAATATACAATATTATGCAATAAGTACATAAAAATTAGTATCAAGCAGCAAAGAAAATTTGTCAGAAATTTGAAAACTGATTGTTAGATCACACGTCTGACACATTAAGTGTTCAATGTTAAGGGTTAGAATTTGAGGAACCAGTAGCTGTAAAAGAAGTTCATAGAATTTTCTGCGAATAATAGGAAGACGCGAGAAGCTGGCGAGGTGCGATAAGTTCCTAGAGAAATGGAGTCCCGACGTATCGCGACACTCCTACCGGCGATCCGGGAGCAGAGTGTCGAAGGGAGGGAAAAAGGTGCAGCGAGAGAAGGTCCTTGCAAACCGCAGGATCGTTATCGATACCGCGAGGAGCTTCGTCTCGGGGAGCCGTGTGTCGTGGGTCCAGCAGCCTACGGGGAGGAGAAAGAGAGGCGAAGAGAGGGGTCGAGTGGTTGAGGCCCCTCCCTTGTGCCCCCTCCCCGTGGCCCGAGAGGATCCCTCCGGTCGTCCGGCAAGACCCCCCACCAGAGGTACGACAGGACCCGCGGGCCCACCTGTGCCGCGGATGGACCCTGCACGCTTCTCCGCTGATCCGACGCACAGTGTGCCCATAAGGCCCATTCGAGGTATACTTACGAGAGCGCGCGAGGCCTAAGCCGAGCTAAGCGAGCGAGCGAAGCGGTCGACCGATCGGCCGAACGAAGTGGGACCGTAGAAAATAATTGGAGGTGGGGGCTGATTCAAGAATCGACGTGGACACCCTCGCCTTCCAAAGTCATTCACCTAACGGTCATCGTCGCGTCAAGAATCTTCTTTTTCTTCTTCTTCTTCCTCTTCCTTCCTCTTCTTCTCGTTCTTTCTCTTCCGTTATCCGGTTGGACCAAAGGGATTCGCCGCGTACCGGAGGACCACACGCTGGATAGACTTATTCTCAAACGAACGATTTATCGACCAGTGAACGGAAGTGACTCGTACAGTGATAAGTGCAGATGATTCCTGCGAGGACCAAGTGAACGAGGACCAAGTGTCAGTGAATCGCGGAGGAGCTTCGAAGTCCGACGGTATCCAGTGACCAGTGTCGCGATTAGTATCGTTCGCAACGTTATGGTGACAGAGTGCCGGATGCTGTGCATCTAAGAAACGGACCACCGTTGATGATCCTCGACAATCTTTGAACCTCCTCCTATTCAAGGTAGGCCATGCTCATTCATGCGGCGTACGATGCGCTCCGTATTTCTTCGGGTTACAAACTTGTCGTCCGACGCGCAATCGCGTCCGCGTTTTGTAGGACGCTCGTTTCGTCGAGCGAATCGCGCACACCTAGAAGAAGCGAAGGACGCGTGCGTTTCGTAATTTTGAGCGCGTGCCGCCGAACGATTTCTTTGTCTTTGATCGTGACATGAAAAGCAGCACGGTTCGACGAGATTTCAGCGCGATACCGCTCGCCTACAACTCAAGATAACATTTTCCAGCGAACCTTTTTCGCATCTAATCCGTGACGAATTATCTAATTGCATCATATAACGAATTACTTCTTAATTCTTCTTACTTCTTCTTACTAGTTAATTCTTCTTACTAGTTAATTCATTCTATAACGTATTAACTAATTATTCATTATATAACTGTTGATTCATAACGTAGTAGCTAATTGTTAAATCATGAGATACATTGGATCTCGATAGACTGAAATTTGCAAGAATGTCGCATTCCAACTGGATATTTGACGGTGTTTCAACAGCGTATTGCGCGATTGTCAGATACAATCTGAATCTGAACGACCTGGTTATCGAACAGCGATAGAATAATAGCATCGGAAACAAACGGTCCACGTTGCATCGCGCGAAGGCCGATCGCTGGAGCACGTTGCGGAACGTTTCGTTTCGAAAGACCGGAAGTCGCTCTCTGCAAACTGGATCGCGCTGTTTTGCGAAGATGAGACGGAAAGAATCCTTAGCGTTTTCCCTTAATTAATCTCTTTGTCATTTTTTGCCTGGGGTTGATTCGCTGATTTCTTATTACATGTGAGAGTAGAAGTATGTCCACTTTGCAAAAATACAGAAATATACTTTTTTTAACTGTCAGAAGTATTGGCAACGCGTGGACCATTGATGGCGGTGAAACGATAGAGACAGATCTTATCAATGTTTTTACGAATTAAAAGTACTGAAGATTTATCAAATTTTGCTTTATCAAGATTAATCCAGTTTATCACATCTGATAGTCTGTATCAGATTTTTACGATTATTAATGGATTGTCAAAGATATGTAGTTGCATAAATTTGTAACAAGTCAAACATAGAAGCAAAAATTTTTATAAATATGTCATACAACATATTTAGGGCTAATCATCCCCTAAAAGAGTGAAATAATTTTGTCCTTAATTGTCTTTAAATTTTATCATTGAATATCTTAATTTTGTCATCGATCATAACTTTGTCCTCGAATAACATTCAGTCATTAAATACGATACTGTATGCTTTTTATTTTAATAGTAAATGAGCCCTAAATTTCCCACGGCGATCTCCCCATAAAAATACCAGTTACGCCAATGCTGCCTCCTCGATTAATGTCCGACGACGGTTTTCGAAGCCGACCATTAATTAAACGACATCGATTTCTTTCGGGATTATCGTATTTTTTCTTAATTTGCATGCGCGTGAAAGTCGCGTCACGTCAGCCGATTTAGCGGAACTATTTTAAATGACCGACGCCTCGTTACTTTCGTCCGAACCAGCAAAATACGACGCTAGAATTTTCCGTTTTCTCACGACACCGGTACTTCACCGGAAATGAGTTTAGTTCCGTTCCTGGATTACGCTTTACGACCACCAATGCCCTGCGAAACGAATTTCCAGCGTACTTTTTAGCCCGTGTTTATCCTCGTTGATTTTTAAACTACGTTTTCGGGATGAGGCTTGTAAAAAAAAGGTTCAGTCCGCTTTTTCTTACCGGCCAGACCGTTATTCACCTTTTTAATGGCGAAAAATGGCTCGGGTTCTATTTTCACGGGGCAGTAAAGCTTTGCCAGGTCGGTTCCAAAAGATGGGCAATGGACAGGTCATTTTTTTACAGTCGGCTGCAATTATCGGGGATAATTTATAATAAAAAGTAGCGGTCTTTTCTGCGACACCTTTGTCATCTCTGTTTTACCGTTTTCGTTTTACTCCATAAAGAAATGCCTCAGTTTTAAAATAGTTTAACGATGGAACTTCATAAATGGACACGTACAAAAATTTTAACATGTTGAAGTTTTTCATTGCAAACACCTTTGTCACCTCTGTTTTTTCCGTTTTCGTTTCACTCCATAAAGAAATGCCACAGTTTTAAAATAGTTTAACGATGGAAGCTTCATAAATGGACACGTACAAATCTTGATATGTTCAAGTCTTGCAAACATCCAAACATGAGCTGGTATAAAATTGTGCAATAAAATTAAGTGGTACAATAAAATTAGTGAGCTTGAGATTAACGACAAAATAAATAACAATTAATGAGGACATTCTTACTGCAACCTGAATTAAAAATAGCAAAATCTGAAGGACAGCTGGCACGCGTTACATCAAATTTATATCCCTGTTTATGAGGGCGGTTTACAGTAGTTTAATGACAATAAAAATGTATCAATGAACCAGTCAATTGCACTGAATTCTCACGATTAGTGTAACGATCCCAGTTAAACGCAAACTCGAATTCCTGGAAGCACTAAACTTTCCCTGTCGCGCATGAACCATATCCCCGCGTTGACCAGAAATAATTATCGTTCCGATGTTTTGAAACCATTAGCGACGAGGAGGCCAGCAATTTCGTGTGGAATAACTTCTAAAGCGGTAGATGTATCGACTCGTAAACGCGAGACTCGCTTAATTAATCACCTTGTTTTGTCGTGACCGTGGATAGGCCATAATTAAAAGTCATTTATTAGGGGAACATTAAATCATCTATCATTCTTTTCGCGTCGTGTATTCTATTAAAGCCCGCTAAAGCGGTATCACCACCGTGTGGATCCGTGTGTGCGTGAGCGAGTATGTGTGCACGCGTTGCGACACGCGAGAGCGTAACAATATTGTACGCTTTAAAACGTTGCAACTTGGATCGACGTGAAACGCTCGAGTATGCAGGCACCCCCTGAATGGCTCACCGGATGCACACCTGCAATCAGCGCAGGTTGCAATACCTCGGGCGCATCGGACCCGAGCGTTTCGTTGCGAGTCCTAACTCACACCCATTAGCGTAACTAGCATTTTTACTTTCAATGGCTTTATAGAGCACGTGTCGAATTTCTATGAATTTCAATTTATAGGATTTGTCGTGGGTTGTATAGTTATGCGTTAAAGTGCTACGCATTGAATTAGCGTTCGTTAGATAGACACGCGACAGATTACTACGCGCTGAATTAATACACGCTAGATTACCGCCCGTTGGATCTCTACGCGTTGGATTACGGGGCGTGCAATTACCACGCGCCGAACTTCTACGCGTTGAGTTACCACGCGTCTAATTTCCTGTGAAGCGAATTTACTACGCGTCGAATTTCCACGCGTCGAATACCCTACGCGTGGAATTTCTACGCGCTGAATTTCCACGCGTCGAATACCCTACGCGTAGAAATTCCACGCGTCGAATTTCCTACGCGTCGAATTTCCACGCGTCGAATTCCCTATGCGTAGAAATTCCACGCGTCGAATTTCCTACGCGTCGAATTTCCACGCGTCGAATTCCCTATGCGTAGAATTTCCACGCATCGAATTTTCTACGCGTGGAATTCCTTACGCGTGGAATTTTCTACGCGTGGAATTCCTTCCCTATGCGTAGAATTTCCACGCATCGAATTTTCTACGCGTGGAATTTTCTACGCGTGGAATTCCTTACGCGTGGAATTCCTTACGCGTGGAATTCCTTACGCGTGGAATTCCTTACGCGTGAAATTTTCTACGCGCCGAATTTCCACGCGTCGAATTTCCTACGCATCGAATTTCCACGCGTCGAATTCCCTATGCGTAGAATTTCCACGCATCGAATTTCCTACGCGTGGAATTTATTACGCGTGAAATTCCTTACGCGTGGAATTTCTACGCACCGAATTACTACGCACTGACTTCCATCGCCCCAAATTTCCACGTGTCGAATTCTCTACGCGTTGAAATCTCTACATGCCGAATCTCTACGCATTGAATCCCCACGCGGTAAACCCTTACGCTCTAAATCCCTTTGCGCTAAGTGCCTCCGCGTGAAGTCGCAGCGCGTTAAATGCCCACTTATCGAATTACCCGCCACATTTTTCCACGTGAGAATATATCGCAACGTCCTACGTCGTTACGCCAATGCTATTAATTACCAACGACCATCGAATCCGTCGTCCATCGGTAATTAATAGCGGAGAACAATCATCGTTCTGCCGAGCCCAGCACACTCTGCTTCCCCTCTTCTGAAATATCAACGAAGCCTGGAGGCTGTGTTTAACGAGAATACGTCGTCATTTAAATTCAATTAACCGAGACGCGATCTCCTTCTCTCTCCGTTTCTCCGCCACCGTGCTCGACTCGATTTCGCGAGGGCAATCGTCGAGGTCCAACGAGCAAACCGCGACGATTGCCTCATGCTCGCGGATACGCTAGTTTTTCCGCTCGATTCTAAAATCTTGTAGCAACGTTGGTTAACGCGATCCTGCGAAAAGATTGCTCTGTGATCTTTTTCTTTTTTAGTGGTAGAAAACGATCGTTTCCTTCTATTTGCGAGCTGACGCGTCTATAGTGATTTATACTGAAAATCGACCACCTTGAAGGTATTTTAATTCGTGTGAAACATTGTGCTGATACATAGTTGTGTAAAGTTATATAATTCAAATTGAAGATACGAGATGATACAATCTATATTTAGCTGCAAATGTATCCCAGTATTTATAAGTAATATTATTCGAAAGCACAATATTTTGGTACATCTATAATTTAAAAATTGACTACGTGACAAATTATAACAGAGAAGTTATAATACATGATGCCAACAATATATCATGGATGTCACAAATTTTTATAATTGCAGAGAAATTTTCAATTTGACGTTCAGACTACAAGGGTCATGTTCATATTTCATTTTTTAGATAAAGTTGGTGGATTTTCAGTCTAAATTCAATCTAAAGATTCAGTCTGCTAGTAAAACGACGCGAAAGTTATCCAAGCAACAAGGAAGCGACGGTGTACCGAAGAAAAACAGAGAAGAAGAAAAATCGAACGCGGAATTAAAAGTATGCGGAGACACGCAGCGTTTCGAGGCGTACAAGAACGTCCGCGAATGAGAAGTGTCAACGACTGTGGGGTGTAGGTCAGGAAAGAGAGACTCCGTTGATCAAACAATCGATGTCTCTTCCATTAGCTGAAATTTACTTTCCCATTTAGCGACAGTCCGTCATGTATGAAAGTCGCCGCAGGTGACACGGTGTGCCCTCGAGCAACCTATGTGGGTCACCGTCGCTATTGTTGTCCCATATTCAATGGCCCCCTGTAATTACCCCAGATCATCGCGGAAATAACGTTTTTTGTGGAGTGCCATTGGTTGTTCTTTAGACACCTTTGGAGATTTCAAGGTTTTTATATTTGTAAGATTTTTAAAGTGGCAAATTTGGAATTTTATGAATAATTGGATTTTTAATTTTGGAATCTTCAAACTTATTAATTTGTCAATTTTTAAGTTTCTTAATTGGAGAACTATCAAATTTTTGAATTGTCAAGTTGTTCAATTTGTAGATTGTCAAGTTGTCTGTTTTCTAAATTATCATGTTTGTCAAACTTGCAAAACCCTAATTTCTAAATTGTCAAATCTCTATGTTTCTAAACTTCTCTAAAATACCATAAGTTCCACATAAGTTCCTAAAATTGTAAATATTACAATATTACATCTATTTAATGTATTCCACAAACCTAACTATACTCTCATATTCCTACTTCTACACCCCATTCCATGAACCCCAATAATTCCCTACATCTTCATCTTTCTACATTTCCTATAGAAACCATATCCAAGTACCATACACCATGTCCAAGTACAGTAAACCATATCCAAGTACAGTAAACCATATCCAAGTGTTTGAACCGATTCAACCCCAGAAAGATGGTTACGTGAATGAGAAGACGGAGGCGGCGAGGTGTGAAAACGGGACCGCGGGGCCGCAATCTGTTTTCTGGACGAGCGGCCAAAGAAGGCGAAAGGAGGCAGCGAGAGGGAACGAAAAGAGACGGAGACAAGCTAGAATAGAGAGAAAAAGCAAGCGCACGAGGGTTTTCCGCTCGTTGAACGTAACACGCACCGCTTTGCCACGATCCAGCGATTCGCGCGGGTATCGCGCAAACCGGCGAATTGCGTAACGAGCTTCTTCTCTGTTTCCCAATCGCGAGCGATCGCGAGTGGGCGAACGATAACGTTTGTGCATTGTGATTTCGTCAACTTACGGACCTACCATTTTCTACCCCTTCGTTGAGATGGATAGATTTATCTGCAAAAATGTTTATTATATTGTGTATTTGTTGGAGAGTCACTTAGGGTTGCCTGGAGTAGCTATAGATTTTTAGGACTTATAGATAGACTATCAGGTTCTGTAGGTAGACTATCAGGTCCTATTAATAAACTATCAGATCCTAATCATAGACTGTCTGATCCTATACATAGACTATTAAATTCTATACATAGACTATTAGGTTCTGTAGGTAGACTATCTGGTCCTATTAATAAGCTATTAGATCCTGACCATAGACTGTCTGCTCCTATACATAGACTATTAGGTCCTGTACATAGACTATCAGGTCCTGTACATAGACTATCTGGTCCTATACATAGACTATTAAATTCTATACTTAGACTATCAGGTTCTGTAGGTAGACTATCTGGTCCTATTAATAAGCTATTAGATCCTGACCATAGACTGTCTGCTCCTATACATAGACTATTAGGTCCTGTACATAGACTATCAGGTCCTGTACATAGACTATCTGGTCCTATTAATAAACTATCAGATCCTAACGATAGACTATCAAGTCCTATCCACAAACTATCAGCTCCTATCCGTAAACCATCAGGTCCTATCACTAAACTATCAGGTCCTCTCCACAGACTATCAAATCCAACTAACAAACTCTCAGATCCTATCCATGAACCATCAGCTCCTATTCATAAATCATCAAGCTCTATCACTAAACTATCCGCTCCTATCAATAGACCATCAAGTCCTATCATTGTGAACCGTAGATAGGTTTCAGCTTGAACTAAAACCACATTGAACTCGAATAACGTTCTTCCTCTTTGTTGCAGATGAATCAACAGTGCAAGGTGTGCGGCGAACCCGCGGCTGGCTTCCATTTTGGTGCATTCACCTGCGAGGGTTGCAAGGTGAGTCTTCAGACGATAGAGCTGTCTCAAGTTCAGCTGTATGCTTCGTATCGATAAGCAATAATTATTAGAGCCCATATGAAACGATTGTACTAAGACCATTTGTTGCTAGTCGTTGAATTATGTATTAACCCTACACCCCTCATATTTTCTGAACAATTAGGCAATTATCTCTTCTACGTTGAAATGTCTCAAACTTCAATTCTTTGATACAAACAATTTTCTTAAACTAGAATTTTTTTAAATTTCAAATCGTTGGTCTTGAAATTTTCAAACTTGAAATCTAGGATCTTTATGTTCCTAAACTTTAAAATTTAGAAACTTGATCAAATGTCAAATCTTAAAAATCAGAGACTTAATAATAAAATATCAAACTAAATTCAGGGACTTAATAATAAAACATCAAACTAAATTCAGATACTTAATAATAAAATATCAAACTAAATTCAGGGACTTAATAATAAAACATCAAATTAAATTCAGGGACTTAATAATAAAATATCAAACTAAATTCAGAGACTTAATAATAAAATATCAAGTTAAATTCCAAACATAGTTGCTTTGAACAATAACAGCTAATTAATTGATAAGATGCTTTTTCTCCATAATCCATAATCGTTGGAAAGTAACGATGCCCAAAAAAATATTCAGCGCTCCAATTGCGAGTGAAGAAACGTGCAGAATTTTTTCCGTTTCGTCTCTGTTTTTTCTACATCTTATTGTCGAGTGACTTTTCCGTGGTTTCGCAAAACCGAGAAACGCTGATCGCTTTCACGAGCCGCTTCGTGGCCGAGGTTAAACGTTTGACTAGGCATGCGTGTCAACCGGGCCCCCCCGAAAGTACCAGAAACCACGTTTGCTTGTACCACTATGCAAAGGAGAGTCACATTTCTACACCAAAGGGAAGACTTTCGCGAATCGGATTGATTTCTCTCGTTCGCGGTAATTCACAGATTTTAGAGCATAAATTGAGCAAATGTAAACACTCGAATCTATAACTCGAGACCGTTAACGTTTCTTAAAATAGCTACGTGCATGGGCGTGTATCGATTTTAGAGAAGCGAGAATTAACGTTAAGAAGAACTGTAATAAGCGACAGTTTCTAGATACATAGGAGTTAGCGTCCATAAAGCAGGACGTCCATTTTCGTAATTCCGCTTTAAGTAGGGCGATCTTTCTTGTACGATAATTTGAAAACTAAACATTCTATCGAAATTGCATTCGGTACGACAAAAATCTTGGGAGTTATAAATGAGTGTTAACACTTTCGTTGCAATTATTTGGTCAATATATGGCTTTCTCGTGTCAAACTATGGCCGCTCTTACCACCCTAGTGGTTATAGTTATACTTAACACGTTCACTGCTTCATGGTTTATATAATGTGTAACAAGGTTCTGTAAGTTCTATAGAAATTCAGGTAATTTGTTTGGGAGTCTCATTTACACGGAAATATTTGTATTAAGCATGTGGAGCTGCAGGGACATGTGGAACATGTGGATTTAGAGATGTAGGAGTCTAAGTGTCTGATGATGTATGGACTTGGAGTCTAAGGATAATATCTGAGGATACAGGATTCTGGGGATCAAGTAATTTAGAGATGTAGGAATCTGCAAATGTAGGACCCTGTTCATGTAGAGATATGTGGATGTAGGAACCTGTAAATACATTTGGAGATGCAGCAATCTGAAGACATAGAGATTAGACAACACAAAAATTAAAAATCAAAAAAATCTACAAATATAAAAATCTAAAAATACACAAATCTATAGAGACCTGTACAATACAACGAATTCGTGAATCAAGTAATCTGACATAATAAAAGACCAAAAATGCGTAACCAAAAAGTCCATACAATATCAAATTGTCGATGAAATAAGAACACGTGTCCACAAGCGTTAACTTGAGAAGGAAAATGCAAATGACTGGATGGTACCTTACGCAAAATCGAACAGGCACAACACGCGCCGGAATTTTGTACTACAGGATTCCGTGTTTCACGCACGAGTCGAGCGTAAAAGCGAACGATGCCACGGGGAACAGATCGTGTTTGTGTGCGTGAAAGGGGAAGAGCGGGAGAAGGGGAGCTGACATGCTACGGTGGGCCTGAAAACGAAAATAACGAAACGAAACAATGTCGAGGTGACGTAACGGTGAACTAGGGCGGAAACAATTGTGGCAGACAAGTGCGAAGCGCCGGAAGCACCGCCTCGTGATACGAACGAATTGACGAAACGTGCACGTGCTCGCGTGGCCACAATGTCTTGCCGTGGATCTGTCTCACGATTAAACGATCCTGCACGCGATTTCGAATAGACTCGTTTCTTACTACCATGTTACGTTTACATTATTTATAATATTTATTCTTGAAGAGGCGAAGCTGAGATTAATATGGGGTTGAGACTGTTAACACAGACTGCTAACAACCCTTCATTTTTTTTGAGTAAGATGAAAATGACGTAGGAATTCAAACTAAGTAATTGAGACAACAAGACTTCTTGATTACATTGACCGATAAAAACCACTTTTGTTTTGATTCATTGACTTAGAAACTCTGCAAGAACGATTTTAAGGTTAGGTAAAGAAGTGGTCTAATTCTCTTATGTAATTGTTTTACTTATTTTATATCGGTAACAATTGAATAAGATTACAAAAGAAACTGAATAATATACAAGAAAAAATATCCATTGTACAAAGATTAATAAAATTTATTGAAGTTAAAAAACTTAAACCTACACACATATGTCAGCAACCCTGAAGAGCTTAGAACAATATTAATATTGTACTGCTTCAACTGAAACTTTGTTATGCTACTAAAAATTAAAACGTGTCATACCAGATCAGGGTGAATGATACCATCCATGGGTCAATCTGATCCCCGCAGAAGAGTTCACATATTCCATACGATGTAATGATATCAAAAAACATGTGACGAAGAAAGAACACGCCCAAAAAGATATGCATTAAAAATTGCAAAAGCAGTACTTTTGAAAACGTACTGTACAGTAGTAAGGAACAGCGAATCTGAAACCGATATTCGATTCGCGGTTAACAGCGAGCCGTGCAAAAGGCAAGAAAACCTGTGGAAACGATACAATGCTTCATTATCGTCCATTGAGAACAAATTTCAGTTGTGTCCGTGTTGTTCCTCGCGTTTTTTCCGCCGCGTGAGTCAGACAGATACTGTTTCTTACGGTAGGAAAGTTCACCGTGGCGTAATTAGCCGGTCTATTTATCGGGCGGTTTTCGAAAGGAAACCGTAACAATCGCTGAAACGTTTCGACGATGAAAAGGCCAGCACGAGCGGCACGTTAGAGCTACTTCGAGGTTTCAAAGCGGAGGAGAGCCCGTTTGCATAATCCAAGTGCACTTGCAGAGGAAGAGGGGCACGGTAATAACGGTAGCATTTTCTCGATTGTGTCATCGCTCCTGAACCGCCTTGCGTACATGTACAGTCAAGAGCAAATTTGACTTCCCGAGGAAAAATATTACTGTCAAACATTCTTTGGTACCTTCTTAGAATTTTTGGAGATTCAGAGATTTGAGGATGGGTCAATTTGGGGACTTAGGAGTTTAAGGGTAGGTGAATTTGGTGGGGCAGAAATTTCAGCACTTATGAATTTGAGGACGTAGGAATTTGGGGTAGGTGGATTTGGTGGTTTAGAAATTTCAGCACTTGCGAATTTGAGGACGTAGGAATTTGGGGGTAGGTGAATTCGGTGGTTCAGAAATTTCAGCACTTACGAATTTGAGGACGTAGGAATTTGGGGGTAGGTGGATTCGATGATTCAGAAATTTCAGCACTTACAAATTTGAGAACATAGGAATTCAGGGTAGGTGGATTTGGTGGTTTAGAAATTTCAGCACTTACGAATTTGGGGACGTAGGAATTTAGGGGTAGGTGGATTCGGTGGTATAGAAATTTCAGCACTTACAAATTTAGAGACATAGGAATTTAGGGTAGGTGGATTTGGTGGTTCAGAAGTTTCAGGACTTTCAAATTTAGGGACAAAGGAATTGCCCAATTTAGAGATTAGATAGTCTAGAAGTTTTGGTCTAAGACAAATTTGGAAACCTAAAAATGTGATGATTTAGGAGTTTCAAGAAGTACGAATTTGAGGATCCAGAGATTTGAGGAGTTTGAGAGATCTAAAGATGTGGAAGGATATGTACATCTGGAGGATTAGAGGAATGAGGATTTCAAGGTTTACAACATTTGGAGACTAGGGTCATAAGAGTTTGTGGACCTTGAATTTGTAGATCGAGGAATTTGTGGATTTATAAATTTGTTAATCTACAGACTCGAATATGGACAAAATTGATAAAGTTGGTCAAGTGGATAATATTAATCATATGAAACTTGAAAAATTAATACTCTTGAAATTTGAATATTTAAAAATCTGGAAACAGGAGTTTAGTAATATAGAAACCTAGAAATAATCCAATATATCGCCACAATTTTTTCTCCTCATTCAACAACAGAAAAAGACATTTCGCAAAGACGTCGAGGCCGCAGTTGGACGGCAAAGACAAGTGGAACACGGAGTCTCGCGATGCGCGCATCGGGACCACTGGGCCGCAGGAAGAGCTCGTTTTCGGAACAAACGAACCAGAAACGATTAATAATATAGCGTGCGTACAAGCAGAAAAAGCGAAAGTGGACGTACCACGCGCGTCTCTGTGTACGTTTTGTGTCTCTCTAAAGGCTGATCATTACCGCGAAGGGCGAAATTTTCTGTCGAGTTGCACAGGAAACCGTAGGTGTTTCGGAGCAATACTCGACGGATTTAAATGCATAGGTTCGACCAGCGAGGCCGATTCCGATGTATGTTATAAAGAACGGGGTCTTAAATTGCAAACGTTTCGTAAGACGTCCGCTGTCGTAGGTTCCTCGATGCTTGCTCCACGATCACGTGCTTTTAAAATAGATACGAACGTAATCGATACATACGGACACGTCATTTTGGGACTTTGTGATTTTGCAACTTTCTATTTTGGGAATTTCGTAGGTAACTATTTTGGAATCTCTGCGATTTGTTTCCTTGTGACATTTTTAAACTTTCAAGTTTCTGAGTCTTCTAATTTCTGAATTTTTGGGACTTTGAAATTTTTTTAATTTTAGTACTTGAACTTCGGTCTGAGACTTCAATATTTCAAGACTTTGAAACTTTATAGTTCTTCGAATTTTTAATTTCACAATGTTGGAATATTACTTGATGGATTTTGAAATTTTTATTTTTGAACTTTGAGACTTTAGTGTCTTAAAACTTCAGAACTTTAGATTTTTATCATTTTTGAGTCTCACTAAATAATTTAATAGAAATCAATCCAACACTTGTGCACGAAAAAAAGTCCATCCACCATCCTCCCATAAATGAGTCCAAATTACAAATCACGGTCCAAGAACGAATATTAGTGCATTAATTCGTCCTGAGATGCAAAGAAGCACGTTAAAAAAGAAACAAAGGAGAACGAAAGGAGACCGGTACTATGTAACTGTGGCACGGAAAGGCAGCAGTGTCGGAATCATGGAATTGCACCATTTGGGCAATTAGCACGAGCACAGTAGGCCGCACGCGCCTACACCCGTTGGCTCCCCGCTGTACAACATCAATGAGACAACGAGAGCACGCTATTATGACCTAACAACTTTGCTGTACTCATTACGAGGGTTACAATGCCGTTGCGTTCGCATAACGCGCCTCTTACAAGAACTCGAATGTCCTCCTCTTACATTTTAATGAGCGTTTGCAGATTGATAGATCGTGTTATTACGAATTTCCTTCTGCGTTATCTTGATGGTAGGCGAGTTTTGTAATTATGTTTACTTGACGATTTTTATCGTATTTAGTTGACGATTTTAGTTGTATTTGGTAGACAATTTTAGTTTAGACAAATTTAGTTGATAGACGATTTTAATTAGAGGATGGTAGAGGATGATACATTCAGTAGATTTATTGTAGTGAAGTATTTAAGGTTAAAGTTTGAACAAGACTGTTCAAGTCCTCAAGTTTAAACCAGTTTCAAATAATTATCGATTCAAGATCAGCACCTATTTGTATCTTCATTTGTAAAGTAGTGATGATTTAACAAAGTGTACAGCCTGATTCCTTTTGATTAGTTCATGATTATAATCTTTGAGCAAAATTGAAATTCCTGCATCAATCAACACGAAGTAACTTGCTGCCCAAATATAAATAACAAATAATTGACTGCACTTTATATAACTTTGCAATAACAAAGCATGTTCCCTCTGTTTCAGTCGTTCTTCGGACGCTCCTACAACAACCTAAGCAGCATCTCCGAGTGCAAGAACGGTGGCGAGTGCGTGATCAACAAAAAGAACCGAACCGCCTGCAAGGCCTGTCGCCTAAGAAAATGCCTCCTAGTAGGCATGTCAAAATCCGGCTCCCGATACGGGCGCAGATCCAACTGGTTCAAGATCCACTGTCTCCTGCAAGAACAGCAACAACAACAACAGCAACAACAGCACCACTACCAGCAGAACCTCCCCAGCCAGCAACTAACGCCACAACAGCGAAAGCCGATGAGTCCACCTATCGGTATCCACGCGGGTCAACGGAAAGACGACGTGCTGATGTTGGGTCTGGACGATTACAAGAACTCGACCTCGCCCAGCATCAGTTCCCCTGAATCGCACAACAGCGACAGTTCCGTGGAGATATCCGAGAGACGAGCCGCGTATTCGGGTCATCCCGGGTTCAGACCGTTGCACTCTCACCTGCAGCCTTCCGTGGCCGACCTGTCGGCGCTCAGCAAGGAGATGATGAGTCTTCCGCTCGGTTTTCACCTGGGTGGCATGTCCCTGCTACCACCGGCCTTTTTACCGCCGCCGAGTCTCACCATGTTCTCCCCGTACCATCTGTACGCCACATCCCATGGCGCTTCGCATCCGCTGGTACCTAACCCCTCGTCTAACCTCCTGCGACGTTCGCCAGTGGTGGAGGACTGCACTGCGAGGAATCATGGAATTGCACCATTTGGGCAATTAGCACGAGCACAGTAGGCCGCACGCGCCTACACCCGTTGGCTCCCCGCTGTACAACATCAATGAGACAACGAGAGCACGCTATTATGACCTAACAACTTTGCTGTACTCATTACGAGGGTTACAATGCCGTTGCGTTCGCATAACGCGCCTCTTACAAGAACTCGAATGTCCTCCTCTTACATTTTAATGAGCGTTTGCAGATTGATAGATCGTGTTATTACGAATTTCCTTCTGCGTTATCTTGATGGTAGGCGAGTTTTGTAATTATGTTTACTTGACGATTTTTATCGTATTTAGTTGACGATTTTAGTTGTATTTGGTAGACAATTTTAGTTTAGACAAATTTAGTTGATAGACGATTTTAATTAGAGGATGGTAGAGGATGATACATTCAGTAGATTTATTGTAGTGAAGTATTTAAGGTTAAAGTTTGAACAAGACTGTTCAAGTCCTCAAGTTTAAACCAGTTTCAAATAATTATCGATTCAAGATCAGCACCTATTTGTATCTTCATTTGTAAAGTAGTGATGATTTAACAAAGTGTACAGCCTGATTCCTTTTGATTAGTTCATGATTATAATCTTTGAGCAAAATTGAAATTCCTGCATCAATCAACACGAAGTAACTTGCTGCCCAAATATAAATAACAAATAATTGACTGCACTTTATATAACTTTGCAATAACAAAGCATGTTCCCTCTGTTTCAGTCGTTCTTCGGACGCTCCTACAACAACCTAAGCAGCATCTCCGAGTGCAAGAACGGTGGCGAGTGCGTGATCAACAAAAAGAACCGAACCGCCTGCAAGGCCTGTCGCCTAAGAAAATGCCTCCTAGTAGGCATGTCAAAATCCGGCTCCCGATACGGGCGCAGATCCAACTGGTTCAAGATCCACTGTCTCCTGCAAGAACAGCAACAACAACAACAGCAACAACAGCACCACTACCAGCAGAACCTCCCCAGCCAGCAACTAACGCCACAACAGCGAAAGCCGATGAGTCCACCTATCGGTATCCACGCGGGTCAACGGAAAGACGACGTGCTGATGTTGGGTCTGGACGATTACAAGAACTCGACCTCGCCCAGCATCAGTTCCCCTGAATCGCACAACAGCGACAGTTCCGTGGAGATATCCGAGAGACGAGCCGCGTATTCGGGTCATCCCGGGTTCAGACCGTTGCACTCTCACCTGCAGCCTTCCGTGGCCGACCTGTCGGCGCTCAGCAAGGAGATGATGAGTCTTCCGCTCGGTTTTCACCTGGGTGGCATGTCCCTGCTACCACCGGCCTTTTTACCGCCGCCGAGTCTCACCATGTTCTCCCCGTACCATCTGTACGCCACATCCCATGGCGCTTCGCATCCGCTGGTACCTAACCCCTCGTCTAACCTCCTGCGACGTTCGCCAGTGGTGGAGGACTGCACTGCGACCACCACGTCGGCGACCACCACCACCACCACCACCATCAGCATCGACACCAAGGACCCCTGCGGGAACAACAACAACGACACGTACGCGCATAACCACAACGTGCAATCCAGACGAAGCGCCTCCCCTAACCCCGAAGTCGGAGAAGCTTACAACAAACGGTTCTATCTTGACGCGGTCTTGAAGAGCCAACGAACACGCGTCGAAGGTTCACCAACTGGCTCCGTGAAACGCTCGGAGAACGGCTCTCCAGTTCACAGCCCGGAATCAGAGGACTGTCCTCCCCCGCAGGACAACCCCATAGATCTCTCCATGAAGTCTACCGTCACCGCTACGAGCGACGAGATGGAGGATGACGAAATTGACATGGAGAGCGTGAGCGATCGAGACAGCCCCCCTGTCAAGAAGAAACCGGCACCCATAGATCTGACAACGAAATGCTAGGAAGATGGACTGTAGTCGAACTAGCAGTTTCAGCTCGAAGATGAAGTTCGTTGCTAGAGGCAATCGCGAAGACAGCGCTTGGCTTGGAGCGTGGAAAGTAGTTGTGGGCCCAAATATGGTGCGTGAGAAAAGGACGCGTGATATCGTAATCAATTACGTCCACTCGCGTTCCCCTTGATTGTCAGTTTACCGTTCGATCGGCGAGATTCTTGGAATTACGTTTAATTGCGGTCTTGGGTACAGAAATATGGCGGATCCGCATTGGCGTAATTGGGTGCGTTTGTACGGTCTGATATCGGATGCAGGGTTAATGGTGTAGTTAGACATTTTTGGGATACGGTTGTCGAGACTTGCTTGAAATATCAACCCAACATTGCAGTTCTGAAACTTCTACATTCACACAGTTCCAAATTGTTGATTTCCATATTTTCAGATTGTTAAACCTTCCAAACAGATCTTCAAGCTTCGAGTTACCAAATTTTTAAATTCCTAACTTGACCTTCATTTAACCTTTGAAATTATTAAACTTGTAAATCCTAGCACATCTAAATTTTCAAGCATTCGAATTCTTGAACTTCTCAAATGTGTCTCAAGATAATTGCACGCGATCTAAGGGTGGTAACGAACTGCGATATACCGCGCGGCCATATATCAAACTCCCTCGCACAATGTCCCATCGGACCCGACTAAGCGACTTCGCAGGACAATTGACGAGGAATAAAACGCAATAATGTGGCGTAAATATCCGTGGTCCCTTGAATGAAGGATTAACGTCTCAATTCCGAGTAATCAGTTTGCGGATCGCGAGTCGCCGATCGATGTCTGGTTGCGCAAAAGCCAATCGACTTTAACGAGAGTCCTCCGGTTTAATTAACGAGCGTCAGGTTGCTCGCGCGGTAATCAGGCGCGAGAGAGCGAGGGAGAGCCGTTCGCGGAAGCAGGAGAGGTTGGCCGGCGTGCAACCGCGGTGCATCGGTTGATAAACACGTCAAACTGCGGGGTGCACGTGTTCGAAACGCGCGTTACAAACTGGCGTACACGTGTAAGAACGTTGCCAACCGCTTTATCTTACAAGCGTTCGACGCCTGCCAATGTAAACGCCTCCGTCGCCGCGCCGCCGCCTCTTCTGCATTTGTCCCGCGCCTCTTTTGCTCTCGCGGCCAGGAATCCCCGCCGATACGGGAATACTGATCGATCGAGAGGATACCGTTCGCTGGAATCCATGACGAATCCCGCGAATATCCGGTTTTTTCCGCGAATTACTCGCGTTCCAGGATCTCCGCCAAGCTGAGTCCGCGCCGATCGTTTACCGAACGGCCGATCCCTCCGTGCCAAGCCCAGAACACGGATTCGCTCCTCCAGCCAATCTCAAGCATCGTATTTACTGTCAAGTCGACTCTAAACGTGATCATGACGATACCGTGTATTTAATGCGAGCCGAGCGTTCACGAGATCGGACGATCCACCGTCGTGTACATAGATCGTGTAAATACCGGATGGATACGTGGATGTTTATTCGCGTTGGATCGTAACGCGTTGCATCGATTGCGAACGCGACTTGTTTTTTGATGGACATTGTTCAGTTTCGTCAGTAAGTTTTATGTTAGGCACTCGGAGATTTATAGTAGTCAATCAATGGCCAGTATTTCGTCGAAGGCTATCATTGAACCGTTAGGCTGGCAAATACCTACATGAGATCAATTTTTGAAGTAATTCGATCTTCTACTCCATATCCATAATAAATGTTCGATCTCTGTTTAACAGAAATCGAAATTGCCACCCTAATATGTCGGACACGTGCAATCGTACACCCCGGAATTGTACGATTTTTATTTAAATAACAAATAAGAAATAACCTTAATAATAAATGGAGATCAGAATTGATGATTCAGAAATTGAGTCCTACATGCTTGTTCGTTATTTAGGTAAAAAGAGTGCATTTCCGTTAAATGTATCTATTTAATTAGTCGCCTATTTGTATCCGGGCACTGTAACTTGACTACTAGCGATTTCGACTAGCGAATATAAGGCGGGGACACAAGTGTAAATAATAGGTAGGTTTGAGAACGGGACCCGGGCCAGTACTTACTTGTATATAGCCAGTAGATCATAGAAACTAACGAATGTGCTCAAAGTAATTGGAAGATGTTAAGTAGAATAAAAGAGGAACGTTTCGAACATTGGTTACCATATAATCTTCTGATCGGTTTGAGCGATGTATTTTAAATAATTATGTAAATCGATCGATGCAACATCTGAAGCAAAATATATTACACGATAAATGCAATTGTACGTATTACTGAAATTATGTCAATTATAAAACCATGCTATTTCACAAGTAATGTACAAAATCCATCGAATCCCTGGGCCCTCATATTTTCTGTAAATATAAATTGCTCGAAAGATATGTATTCGAAACAACATAGTTTTGCACTTAATGTCGGTGCTGTCAGACCGGTTAATCGATACCGATTTACCGATATTGATCGATCATGGTGATAATTGCAAAGCATTGACCATTCGTAGAATTAGCAATCCCGTAGTATTACAGTAAGCCACTCACTGCCAAGTTGAACTAGTTAGCGCGTGAAACTAGACCGAGCTATTGTACAGAATTCTTAAGTTAGCAAACGAAACGAACAAAATTGTTAAAATTAAGCGATCAGGTAGAAATTTGTCACCGCAATCTTTTTAAGTTTATTATACACGATATCATGTATTCACGGCAATCGATAACGTCTCAATGGAGTTTTGGTGATAACCGATGAATAAAGATTTTACTTTTGTTATAAAAGTGTCGGTCTCAATGTTGCTGGGGAACCACTACTCACTGTAGTACACCACAGGTATATTTCGATATGTGGAAATTTCACTTGCGGAGATTTTACGCATAAAAATTCGGCGCGCGGTAAATCCACGCGTGGTAATTCAACGCGTAGCAATTCGACGCGTAGTAACTCCACTCGTGGTAATTCGACGCGTAGTAACTCCACGCGTGGTAATTCGGCGCGTAGTAACCCCACGCGTGGTAATTCAGCACCTAGTAACTTCACACATGGTAATTTGAGAAATAGTAATTCGACGTGTAGAAACTCGACATATGGTAATTCTACGCGTAGTAATTCCACGCGTGGTAATTAGACGCGTGGTAATTCGACGCGTAGTAATTCGGCACGTGGTAATTCGACGCGTAGTAATTCCACGCGTGGTAATTCGGCACATGGTAAC